AGAAGGGGTGTGTGGGTGTGAGTGTGTGTACGTGTGCGTTGCCTGTGTTTCAGAAGGAAGGTGCTGTGGCTGTGTCCCGCTGAACTGAAGCAGCCGGTGCTGCTCTGTAGGCTGTTAGCTGTGAAACAATTAAATACGACCAACTCCTGCCCCCAAGTCCCTAAACACAAAACAGGTGGGAGGAAATAAAAACGAAAAAGGAGGTGGGGAAAGGACAGCAGTACAACCTTTAGAAATGCAGGTGCTGCACTAAATCACCACCCTTGGGCCGAGCCCCAGCCTTCTGCCATGTGGCCACATGGGCTGGGGAAGACGGCGGCAGTTGTGGGGGCGAGCACACACAGGTGAGGGGTGACGGTGTGGGGTGTGTGCATGCGTGCGTGTGTGTGTGGACACACCCACTGCCTGGGAGGGCTGCCCAAGGCCCCGTCCTACCCAGGCACCCTCCTCGTGGGGTCCAACCAAGGGCCTCCCCGGCAGGGTGACCCCCGGGAGCAGGGCCACGCTCTGTGGCAGTGCGGGTCGCTCTGCTCGTAGTGCTTTGGCTGAAAGTGCGGGTTCCCACCATCCCGCTGGGTGCTGGGGCTGGGCTGCCCCACGGCACCACTGTAACCCCGGGCAGCAGCCCACCGCTTCCCGGTGAGGAGGCTGCATGGGCAGGGATTTGGGGCAGGCATGTGGATGTGCATGGGGGTGACAAGGAGTGGGACTGTCCGGCTGGGCTCAGCACAGCCACTCTGGCCAAGGAAGGATGCTCCTGCTCCTGGGGTGCAGGGCCAGGGCTGGGGTGGCAGGCCTGGCGTGGGGTGCAAGGCTGTGGCACTGCCTCCTCCGGCTGCCACAAGCACACTGGGGGGAAGCCTGGTCTCAAGCACAGGCCCCTGCAGCCACATCTCTGAGCACAACCTCAGCACCACACCTCAGGAGAAGGTTTAACAGGGATAAAAAAACCCAAAAACCCCACAATTTTGGACAGTGCATAAGTAGCAAGGATGGCCTGTGCCCCACCGATGCCAGCCCCAAGCACCAGCTGTGGATGCCGATACCAGGACTGCAGCAGCGTGCATCGCCTGCACCCCCAGCACCGGGCATCGCGCGCTGCCTGGGTCCCCCAGGCCTGTCCCAGGCAAGGGGCCAGCTGAGCCGGATAACCCCTGGCCAGGACGCAGCTGTTGGGTAGGGTCAGGCACAGCAATGGGCTACGCAGGGTCTGCCCTTGCTGCGCGATGTGCCAGGAGTCCCAGCGAAGGGGCTCTGTCTGGCAGCAGGACCTGCTCCATGCTGGGTGCACTGGCCACAGGAGCTACTGCAGGGATTTAACAATAGCCCTCAGGGCATGGGGCGTCTCTGGGACGGAGGGAGATGCGCTGTAGAAGGTGTTGGTGTGATTTCTGCGTTGCTCTCGGAGGTACGGAGGGACAGATGAACTTTTGATGTGGAGGATCCTGGTGTCCATCACTTCACAGTCGATTTGCATCATCACCTCGTAGTCCTGCCCATTGATCACATTCTCTGTACAAGCAAGGGGAAAAAAAAAAGTCAGAGTTAGCCCTGCAAGCTACTGACCTAATGGCACCAAAAGCAGAGCTTTCTGGACCTTTTTTTTCTGGAGCAGGAGCTGGAGGGGTGACTCCTCCCTTTTGCAGCTCCGCACATGGCGCTCCATCTCACACGGCGCAGCCCCAGCCTGCTCGTGACACCTCAAAGGGCCCAGGCCATGCTTAGCCTGTGCAGTCACACCTAGAAATTAATGTAAGTCTTTTCCACTTCTTCATCTGCACATAATTACCAATGGAGTTTGCCTTGTATAACATTTATTACTGAACTGTTGTTCTTGAGCCACTAAAGTGTAGGGGTGATTGAAGATAGGGCTTATTTAAGAAAGTTGAATGTTTCGCTTTCTTTTTATTGGTTTAAGAATACTGTAACCCTCTTGACACTGAGGATCTAGAGGAATTTCTTCACCAGATTATTCGTAAAAAGTCAAAATGCTATTTCTCAACATAATTAACTGCACCTCATTACTGTGCTGACCTGGCTGTTGTACTTGCATGATGTTGTGGTGTGACACTGGACAAGGCCATTAACCTTGAGAGGCCTCCAGACACAGGGAGACCCAGGCCAGCACATGGGACCCCTTGCCAGTGCAAGGGCAATGCCGGGGCTGCATCACCCCGGTGCAGCCCTGAGCTGGGCACGTCTGCTGCCGCAGAAGCTCCTGGGCTTGCAGGCAGAGGCTGTGCACATGGCCAGCATCTGCTGCCTGGATTTAAAGGTGGGAGACTATTCCTTACGTAGACAGTGTGTCCAGGAATGCAAGAGCTGAGATCGGATTTCCAGGCACGACCAACCCTTGCCTTTCAGAGTCAGAAAGGCTGACTGCCATCGGCAGGGTTTTCTTTCTGTGCTAAGGAGGATGGAAGATCACCTAATGGAAAGCGTATGGATTGGAGGAATGCAATATACATTACTAATTTTTACTGTTTTCCTGGATTAACTCTGACTCTGGATGACAGCTGACAACAGCGGCCGGACCCTCTTGTACCCCACGCCACCTGTAGAAGCCATTAGATCAAGTATGTCTGGTATAGTAATGAAAAGCAGGAGCAAACCCTTGCTAAGGGGGCTGAGAGCCTGCAAGGGAAATCAAAGCTCCCACCTGCAGAAATGAAATGGAAAAAGCTCTGTATGTGCCACCGAGTGATCGAGGCCAGGAGCAGCTGTGCAAGTCTCTGTGCCACTGATCCAAACACCCTGACAAGCGCCTTGTCCCTCACGGCTGTGGTGCTGCTGATAAAGCCCTGCCGTAGCTTTGGGTGCTGGGATTTTTGTTCCCAGTTGGGATCCTTTTTGAGGCCATGACTCCAGGTCACCCCTTCTCTCATCCCTTGAGTGTGCTCTTGGTTCTCACCCAACAGGCTCAGGACCAGACGGTGGAGAGGGCTGGGCTGGTGGTGCTGCTTGGGACAGGGGCTGCACGGGGCAGCTGGCGGGGCAAGAGCCTGGCCTTTGGGCTGGAGAACAAACAGGAACAGATCGGCTCCCTGTGACACAGCAAGCTGAAAATGCAGCTCCTCAGCTCTCGTGCTGCAAAGATGACAGCTTGACAGGACCCCGGCTATGTGAGAAAATGTGCTCCAAAGCCACAAGTGGGTGAGGTGGGATGGGATGGCAGCCAGGGCCAGGAAAACTTCTTGGTAAGGCAGTAAGACTTTTCCGTGTCTGCCCGCAGCGGCCAGCACAGTGGGCTATCATTAGGTTCCCTGGCATTGCTCAACATGGAGGAGAACAGCAAGCCCGGAGAGCAGCCCATGCCAGGGAGGGAGCTGCACCGTGTGGGTGGCAGCGGGGAGCATGGGAACCAGATCAGCCCATCTCGGCCAGCTGGGATGCCGCTTCTCCCAGCGCTGACACAGGCTCCCCACTGCGACTAACTGGACCATGATTAAGTAAGCCACAGCTCTGCTACCCTGTGCGAGAGGTGCTGTGCCTTCTGAGGCCACCACAGCTGAGGCAGCTGGGAGGAATCATGCTCAGAGCAAGCCTCCCTCGCCAGCAGGCACGGAGGGGACTCACACACCCAACTCAGACATTCGCAAAGTGCCTGAATCCTGCCCTGTGTGTGTGAACTAGCACAGGAGTGACACGCGGGTTTAAAGAGAGGTATCTGATTCTCTTCCCTTTTGGGTTGAAGGCACTGCCAATGACGAACGGCTGCAGGAGCCTCTGCAAGGAGGATGAGGACAGTAGCGGGAATCACAGAATCACTAAGGTTGGAAAGGACCTTCAAGATCAATTCTCATTACAGACATTTCTAGCAGCCTTTTTCATCACCGTTAGCACCAAAATGACATACAAGAGGAGGCGGGATTTTCCACAGAGACAGCAGTTGCTGCTCAGTGATGCTGCTGGGTGCCTGGACCAGCTGCGATTAAAGGAGCAGTCTGAAAGCTGTGCCAGCCCCAGGATGCCTGGCCACCGTCGGAGAGCCCTGCCCGGCCCACCCCAGCCCAGAGGGTGGAGGGGCTGATGCTCTGCATCAGCCCACGTGATGCTCTCAGCAAAACAACAGGCAAACGTGACCTGAATGCAGCCGGCGCAACCCCATGTTTGGAAAGACTAGCTCACTCTCAAAGGGGCAGGCATTGCAAAAACGATTCCACATGGCTCCGTCCTGAGCTTGATGCCATTAAACTGTTTCATGATCTGGATGAGGAATAGAAAGCATACTTACAAGATTTCTGGAAGATGCTAAACTGGAGGGCTTTCAACCACCTTGGAGTATTGGATTAGACTGCAGTTTAAATAAAAGAGAGAAGCTGTCCAAAATCTTCAGGATGCATTTCAACCAAGGCCAGAGCGAACTACAACGCTCAGGAGACTTGGAAAACACGAATACAAAATGGGGCCGGGCAGAAGCACTGCAGAAGAAGCTTGAGGACTGCAGAGGATCACTGTGCATAAGCCAACAGCATGACAGGACTAGAAATGATCACAACGATTTCAAGAGAAACAGATTTATCTTTGATTAAGTTTCTAATGATAATGAAAAGAGAAGCGCTGGATGAAGCTACCTTGGAAGACCAGAGGGTCTTCATGACTGGCAGGTTTTAAGGAAAGGCTGGATGACCACCTGTCAGACAAGACCCAGGGTACCTGACCCTCTCTCCACACAGGCACAGGCACTCGCAGTTGCTCATGGTCCCTGTAGCCCTGCCTTTCTGTGAGCTGCAGGTGCCTATTCATGACTGAAGCCCCTCAGGGTAAACTGCAACCGATTGTTACAGAGCCCAGGGCCACAAAGAAGCCAACATACGTCAACTGAGCTGTGATGACTGTCCGTCTGCTCTTTGCTTGTGACAAAGATAAGGCAGTACAACTTGGGCGAAGCAACTTGAGATTTGAGCTGATATTTGCCACAGGGTAGGGAGGCACACCAGCCAACTCCCACAGTTCAGATGGCAGAACACTGCTGTGCCATCTTTCCTTGACGGTCGGTTTAAATCCAATGGCTATGTAGTTGGACATGTTCATCTGTGCTATTCCTAATCCCTTGTCAGCGAGTGGGCAGTATCTGGAGTAGAGCTGGGTTCTGCAGGGGCCCCTGTGGTCTGACCTCATCCACAGAACAGGCCAACAATTTTGCCCTGTGATTCCTGCATCAGATCTTTTAAAAATAGCCCAGTGAGGCTTTATTTCCTTCCCCTTCCTTGGGGCCATCCAGCAGTACCAACATCTGGGAGACACCAATGAGCACAAGGTGGGTTTTCTAAGAGAGGTCATGATGAGCGTTGAGCTTGGCAGTTGCATGTGGCTGATCCCTGGAGGGGTCAGTACGTAACCACTACTTTCTCTCCATGCTCAGGTCAGCCATGTACTGCACTGCCTGAGCATGCAGCCATCACACCTCACAGCCCTCTGCAGGGAGGTGGACACGGGCAGGGGTGTCTGTGAAGGCAGGACCAACAGCTCAAAGTTGCTGCCTGCTGCCGCTGCTCCTTTGTTGGCTGGAAGGTCAGCACTGCCAACCTGTGTTACACGGGGCTGCTTAATCGCCCAGAGTAACACTGCCATGGAATTATTTCTAAAGTTTGTTGTGCTGAATTACCTATGACTGATGTTTTGTGGGATTACATAAGTGAAAACACAGGAACAGATCTCCTGTAGAGGTGTCTGGGTTTATAAATAGTTTTATTGCTCCTCTTTGAAGTTCAGAATATACAGCCATTCATACAGCCTCAGGCTTAAGAAGCTATCCTTCCCAGGCCAAAAGGCTGTGTTGCACTTAATTATTTGTTAACAGGTTTAAAAGCCGTGCTTCAGGTGATAGACTATTTCAAATTAACAGCAAAGGTAATTGTGCCAAGCATTGCTGTTGTCTGACTGCACCTTCTCAAAGAGGCTTGCTGGCTCTCGCGGACTGTACCAAACTCCCAGCATGAGCTTGGTCTAGGGAACAGAAATCTAATTCCCCAGTGCTGCTCTCTAGGGTTTATGGCAGCTCCTCTTAAAAACAAACATGTTGCAAGACCCAACTGATGAAAGCTGAAGTCAGTGATCCAAACCAAGAAAGTTTAGCAAATAAGGCTGAGGGTAATAACCACTGTTACAAATTACCGAAGATGATGGAAGATTGCCTTCGTATTTGAAGTACTAGATTTTCAAAACTGGCTTATTAGACCATAAAACCAAAGTCCTCCTTCTCCTCTTAGTAGTAGTACTGACACCTATCAATCAGTCGAATGTTCAAACGCCTGTCTTTGAGACCAAGCATCTGCTTCTATAAGAGATGCTGTCTTAGAGAAAAGCAGAAGACAGCCAGAGGGCTTGAGAGGCAGGCAATGAGAATCTTAGCGTCTGTTCTGCAGTAAGTCAGAACAAATGGTGATGTGAACTGTCTCTCTAGACTCAAACTCTCCACACGTCAGTGGGCTGTTTAGCCCTGTGGATGCAGTCATACGACAGGAACAAGTTATTCTGGTAATCTACCCCTCCCCACTTACATGCACCCT